CGGGGTCCGGAGGCATGGGGGCTGCCCAAAGCCGGAGCACTCGGGCAGCTCGGCTCTTAAACAGAACCGAAGAGTCAGGGGAGGAGCAGAGCAGCTGGAGCCCGGGAGGGGAAGTGCCTGGCCGGTATTTTTCCCGGACATGTTCGGCTTTTTGGCAATTCCCCCCGGATGGGGGTTTGATTACCAAAAAGCCAGACATGTCCGGGAAAAACCGGACGTATGGTAACCCTATCTTAGGGTCTGCTGAAGGAGGATTCTCCTGCAGTGGGGCTGAGGGGATAATATTTAATTTAGGTGTAGTGTCCCCTCTCCACCCGGTTACCTTCTGTAATGCCAATCTGCTTACAGGTTTTGATGGACAGGCCTGGGTTCTTCTCAATCCCACCACCCACTCAGCAGGGTGTATCTTTTTTATTTTTTCCTATGAATTTATTTGGCAGTGCCTTCACCCCCCTCGCGCCTTCCTGGCAGGGCTACTAGGGCAGCTTGGGAGGAAAACTCTAACCACAACGTAACCCCCACTTACTTGCCAGATAGTTGGAGACTTCCAAGAAATAACACAAACACATACAATATATTCAACACAATAATGATATTAAACAGGAGACAAATATACATAACAGGGTAAAACACTATTCTTAGGGTCACCGGTGCCCACACTGCTAATACCTGTGACTCTCCTCAGTCATGTGACTTGAGGTAGCAAATGTAAGATTAGTGTCCCATTGGTACGCATACTTTGTTGGGGCCCTTGATGACCAATGGCCACAAATTCGTCTCTGCAGTGGTTTAGCTGTGTGGCTGACTGGGTTCAGTACAGCCCAATGGACTCACAAGTGGGAGGAGGTGGTAAATCCCTCATCAGGTTTAATATGCAGCAGGTTATAAAATCCCAGACCCTCACTGCCTGGCTTGAGGACACAGTTCAGAGAGCAGGGGGTCCCCAAAACAAATTCCCTGACTGACTAACTAACAGATGGTGCACTCACACACTCCATGAATGATCCTTAGGTTCAGAGATGACTCTGGACTCCTCAGTCACTGCGAGGGGCTGATCTCTGCTGGCAGGGATCCTCTTCAGGCAGGAGTCAGGCTGTCTCGGTCCCAGGATTTCCCCTCACCACAAAGGGGTGCAGGGCTCAAGGTGCAGTTTACACAACTGTACTAAAATCCAAACTGTCGTCTCCTAGCCCAGCATCCAGACATACACACAGCAGGCAGGTTTCAGAGTAGCAGCCGTGTTAGTCTGTATCCGCAAAAAGAACAGGAGTACTTGTGGCACCTTAGAGACTAACAAATTTATTAGAGCATAAGCTTTCGTGGGCTACAACCCACTTCTTCGGATGCATATTGAGTGAAACATATCGAGGAGATATATATACACACATACAGAGAGCATGAACAGGTGGGAGTTGTCTTACCAACTCTGAGAGGCCAATTAAGTAAGAGAAAAAAAACTTTTGAAGTGATAATCAAGGTAACCAAGTACAGACAGTTTGATAAGAAGCAAGTGTGAGAATACTTACAAGGGGAGATAGATTCAATTCACAGCAGGCAGCAGCCCTGAACTAGCAGGCAGAGCAGAGCTGACCATGTGGTGACTGGTCTCACCTAGAGAGCTGGAGGGCTAACTTAGCCTGCCTGGGAAAGTTTCCCAGCAAAACTCTACAAACTGGGAATCATCAGTGGAGAAGGAAAAGCCCAGCGGAGGGATCTTGCTTTCAGGTCCCTAGAGGCCAATTTTCAGGGGGAACCCTGCATACAGGGCTGGGACTCACCAACTCCCCACACAGCCAGTCCTGCCCTTGCCCTGGCTGGCTCCAGACTGACTCAAAAATGGCTTCTCCCCTTTCCTGAACTCCCTGGGAGGGGCACCTCACTCCCTATTGGTTGCCCGGCAGACTCTGAGTTTGCCTTGGCTCCCCCTGAGCTGCCAGCAGACAGAGCCCCAGGAATTTAGATAATCTCCTTGAGGGTTACATAGGAAAATGCAGACCTAGCCAAACCCAAACCCAAACCCAAACCCAATGTCTTTCTTAGGGTGCAGTTAAGAAGGAGTCAATAACAGTAATTTAAAGGTGGAAAACTTATTATAAACTTTTATTAATTATTATTGTCATTCAGTTTCCAGGTATATTTTAAGGACACGAAATGGAGCAGGAGAACCTCACCACCCCTGTGACAGAATTTGTCCTCTTGGGTCTCACCCAGAGTTCTGAGCTGCAGCGATTCCTCTTCATTGTCTTCTCCATAGTCTACCTGACAACCTGGCTGGGAAACTTCACCATCATCACCACCGTGATAACTGACCGCCAGCTCCACACCCCCATGTACTTCCTGCTGGCCAACTTGGCTTTCATAGATATTAGTGACTCTACAGTCAGTGTGCCGAAGATGCTCTCGGGTCTCCTCTCCCAGCGCAAAACCATCTCCTTCAATGAATGCATCCTCCAGATGTTCTTCTTCCACTTCATCGCTGGCGCTATGGTATTTTTACTTGCGGTGATGGCCGCTGATAGGTACGTGGCTATCCATAAACCATTGCGATACTTGACTATCATGAACCGGGGTGTGTGCATGGGGCTAGTGGCTGGCACATGGCTGGGTGGATTGGCTCACTCTGCTATTCAAATTGGAATGGTCCTCCATCTACCGTTCTGTGGGCCGAACATCCTGGACAATTTCTACTGCGATGTCCCACAAGTCGTGAAACTGGCCTGCACCGACACCCGCCTGTTCGAGCTGCTGATAGTCTCCCACAATGGGGTGATTGTCATAATTATCTTCATTCTCCTGCTCATTTCGTACACCATCATCTTAGTCAAGATCGGGACACACCTCACGGAAGGGAAGCGCAAGGCTCTGTCCACCTGCGCAACCCAGATCATGGTGGTGTGTTTAATATTCGTACCCTGCATCTTCATCTATGCCCGTCCCTTCCAGAAATTCCCTATGGACAAGGTGGTCTCGGTCCTTTACACTGTAATCCCCCCAATGCTGAACCCGATGATCTACACGCTGAGGAATGCCGAGATGAAGAAGGCCATCAGGAGACTGATGAGCAGAATGCTCTTCTGGGGAGAAAAATAAAGACATAATTTTTAAAAATTATGATTTCCCAAATTATGATTTTTTAATTTTGTTATTAACAAGGTACATGAACTTGTCATACAGTGTTAACAACTCTCAGTAGGTATCTGTGTTTGTTTCCTTTATAAGACCCATTGTGTCGGGTCAAGCTGTAATAATTTTCTGTGGGTTTATTTTGTTCAAATTCTAAAAAATATTATACATTAGAAAATGTGGATGACCCTGTGATAGGGCTGGCTTCCCTTTTTTCTATTGGAAGGATTGTTGGGAATCAGGGTCTGCTGCAAAGCTAGTCTCCAGGCAACCTAACGAGCACAAATGGGTTGCCTAATTAGAGACACCAGCTGTTTGGTGTCAAGAGTCAATGGACTGGCTTTTAAGCCCAGCAGCCGCAGCAGTTCCACAGCTGCTCAAAGTATTCACCAGTGGCTGGGAGAACACCTGTGCTTTCTTGTTCCCAGCTTTGTTTCAGCCCTAGTCCTATCTTGGGTCCTGCCTTCCCATACTCCAGTTTACCTGGTCCTGAGCCATGGCTGTAATTCTTGACTTCTGACTTTGGCTCTGAGCCTTGGCTCTTATTCCTGACTACCGACTCCAGCTGTAACCACTAGGCCTGAGACCTGCTCTACCCACTGGCCACAACCGCCCGTGTCCCAGTCACTGGCAGGATTCCACATAGTTTATTCCTCCGAGCCACTAATGTTGCAGGATCTGAAAACAAGCTATCACACATCCAGCTACTCGCCGCAATCGTGTTATCAAGAGGTCCTTGCTGAGTCAATAACCAACATTGGACTTTAGCGATGAGCTTTATGCATAGCAGGGGCACTGGAAGGGGGGGCCGGGCAAAGGGCCATGCCCCACCCCAACTTTTGGGGAGCTTCCGCATCTCCTGGTGCATGGCCTTTTTCTTTCCTTGTTAATGGTCTCCAGAAATCTGGGCTTTGGACATGGGATTTGACAGAAAGCTTCAGTTGCAAGTACGCCAAATCGGATATATTCATCTTCACCAAGAGCTTTTTTATGGTATCCGTTTCCATAACTGTATCATGACTGAAATCGGCTAATGGTTTTACATTCTTTTCCCCTCCATAACGTCCTCTATTGGATTAGATAACCCAGGCTGAAACTGTGGCCTGTTTTATACAGATGTGAAACAAGAAGGGAAGTGGCTATGCCTCACCTCTGTCAAATGGCATAGCTGGGTGTGCCATCCAAGTAGGGTTGCCAATTTGGTTGGACATATTCCTGGAGATTTAATCACATGATATAATCCTTAATTAAAGATTAATCTTTAATTCCTGGAGACTCCAGGCCAATCCTGGAGGGTTGCAACCCTGCACCCAAGGAGATCAGATACTGAACCCTCAGGAAAACAGCATGCTAGCGAATGAATTATAGACCCAGGACATGAGTCAGTGGGACATGTTAGTGCAAATCAGTGCAGCTTCACTAACACTAATGGGAAAGAGCCTCAGTTGGTATAAATCGGCCCTGCTCCACTGGAGTCAATGAGCCAATTCCACAGGAAGTGATGTACTTCCATTGTAGTTACTGGGGCCCAATCCCCAGCTGGAGTAAAAAAACTTTGCTCCATTGAAGTTAATATGGAAAATACTCGGCTGGTGTTAATTTGTGGAGCTCTGTGGAAGTGAATGGGAAAGATCCACAGCGGGTATAAATCAATATAGTTGAAGTGAACATGTCCTTAGCTAGGCTAACATACTGCGGTTCAGTGAGTGTCTTCCACCAGGGAGCATGGGTGTTATTGTTGGCTGGGCTATCATCAGCAACATTATGAGCTAAATTCTCACCATCGCCAGTGACACCTGTGCAAACCGCTGAGGTCTGCACGAGTGCACAGGAGTACCTGAGAGCAGATCATGAAGGAATGGTATTGCACAGTGTGTGAAGGATGTGAAGGAGTTGGGGCCGCAGAGGGGTCACTGAGGTTGGACTGTGAAAGCAGCATGGTGGGATGGTTTGGGGGATCTGTGTAGACAAAGGGGGCACAACAGGAGGGTCTAAAAAGGCTCACACTGAAGGAGACACATGGGAAGTTTTGAGCATGAGAGGTGTACCCCGACTGATCGGGGGAGATATTTATTTTGATACACTACACAGTGGTTTGACAGGTTCTGCCTCCAAATCAGGCACCACAATAGAATTATCAATAGAATGAGGCTCTTGAGGAAAGCCCAAGAAACAAGTCACATCCTGTTCTCCCAGAAGTTTAAAATGTATTAGCAAAACAACCAAGATCACAGACAGTGTAACACAGCAAAGGAGGTAGAGCCAATACAAAATGGATAGCAGTTCTATACTCACAGCATCCTTTAAGCCCCAGAATAGTTGAAGCCGTCCGTGGGGTCATCAGGCCAACGCATTCCACTTATCACACTGCATTCAGGCTGGGTCTGACCTTTGATAGGGTGTTACGCCAAAGCCCAACATCTTTTATACATCTTAATGATGGGTTCTTTTCCTCCTTCAACTCACTTCCACCTCTCAACAATATTGGAGTTCTTATCTTCAGTAGGTCAGTCAGTCACTTATGTTATAGTCATTAGCGTTTATGTCAATTAGTGGCCATGGTACATCTGCAACTAGTACATGTAAGTTTCGGTTAAGCTCAACATCCTTTTAAACATCCCCTAAAATATAAAGGATACACGATGGTCCTTTCTGACCTTAAAGTCCATGAGACTATGAGTTCCTTGCTTTGCTTTTTCCCATCAGGTACCCCTCTTGTTTACTGTGATATTATAACTTAAGGTCAAACTATCAGTTAAATACAATGTACGTAGCAACTACGTGCATCATCCTTTTATACCTAGGCCTTAGTTCTGGTAAGCTAATTGTCCTATAGGCTTGAGGCCTGTGGGCCCTTGCTTTACTCCTGTGGCAGGCTACAGAGGGACAATGGACTGTCCAACCAAGGTCAGAGACCATGAGCTGGAAGGGTGAAGTCTCCTTGTTTCAGAAGTGTAGTCATGCACAGCCGCATCAGGATCGAGGATAGCCCCAGAGACCCCTAAGCCCGGCCAAAAGAATGATAGTGATAGGTGAGGAAACTGAGGCAGGCAAATGTGTGTGGAGTTTATTGTATTGGCATAGATCTGTGTATGTCTCCTGCTGTTAAATAAAGAGAAATAGCTACTATTGGGTTGTTCACAGCGCTCTACAGGACCTTATTAGGTGACCGATGAAGTAAAAGACAAGGCCACCCTTTTGGGTGAGATTTGGGGCAAGGGTGGGCTGAAGCAATGTGGGGGACCAAGGGTCATCACAGGACCTCGGGACAGGGCAGTGGGTCACGTGGTCAAACTTTTCAGGAGGGGATATGATATCTACACCCCAAAAGTGTCCCCAGCGGCCCAAAGACAGCAGCCATGCCTGGTCCATTCCAAAAAATTGGAAGCTTAAAAGACTGCACAGGGGTCACTGGTGGTAGGGTGTGAAGGGGAGGGGGCTGCACAGGGGTCACTGAGGGCAGGGTTTGAAGGGGAGGGGGCTGCACAGGGATCACTGAGAGAAGGGTTTGAAGGGGAGGGGGCTGCACAGGGATCACTGAGAGAAGGGTGTGAAGGGGACAGGTCTACTTGGGCCTAAAGATTTTTTTTCTTGGTGATGATGAATGAGGGGAGAAACTGTTTAGCTAGCTAGATAGATAGATAGATCCTGCAGTCCATGAACTCATCATTAATACTAGAAATCAGGGAAATAGCATTGCCTCTTTTTACAGATGGGGAAATTGAGGGACAGTGTGCTGAAAGGGTTTGCTCAAGGTTATACCAGGAGAGTGTGGGAGAGCCAGGAAAACAGTGCTCGGCATCAGTCTCCACTGCTCTAACCACTAGAATACATTTGCAATAGATCTCTGGAGTCTTGACTCTCAGTCCTCTGCAGTGACACTTGGGCTGGGAAGCATCGTCTCTCTAATTCCCCCATTGGAATTGACTATGAAGCGTTCTACTTGCCAGCATACACAGCACATCCATAATACATGGGGTCCCGCAACAATGAGGTCCAGTATTTTTAACTGAGCATAATCTATGCCCCAGGCCTCCTGATACTCTTCTGAACACACACCAAGGGTACGCAGAGGGAGGTGAGGGTGGTTGTGACGTTGCACTCCATATGTTTATGGAAATATGCTTATGAGTGTGAATATAATGCAAATGGAGTATGCTTTTTGCAAAAGGTCTCTTGTAAGGTATCATAACAAAGCTTATGATCTACTGAGTGTGTTCATCCCATTTGTTTGCATATATTATTTCTATATCTGGAGTTAGGAGAATAAGATATAAACTTTTATTACTGATGTAAATATGTTAAGTGGAAGCCATTAAGAGTGCTTCAGAAGCAATCACCTGTAAATGGCTCTGTTTACTTGCAAACCTTCCTGGGTACCTGCGGACCAGCCTTGGAAAAATGGAGTCAAGGGGTCTCACAGGACATGTGACCCTGTCAAATGATACTGGAATCCATCTTAAACCTCATGCTTTTCCATTTGGAAGGAGGGGTGGGAACCCAGAGAGAGACAAATGCTTCCCGCCTTGTGCCAAAGCTATAAAAGGGGGTGGAACAGAACAAAGGGGTCCCAGTCATGTGGAATCCCCTGCTTTTCACCTAAGATGCCTGCTGGAACTAACAAGGTCTGTACCAGGAGAAAGGATTGGGCCCAGACTAGGAAGGAGTGTAGTCTGTGAAAGAAGCTTATTGGAACATCTCTAAGGGTGAGATTTACCTGTATTCAGTTTCTTAATGTATTAGGCTTAGACTTGTGTGTTTTGTTTTATTTTGCTTGGTAACTTACTTTGTTCTCTCTGTTATTACTTGAAACCACTTCAATCCTACTTTTTATATTTAATAAAATCACTTTTGTTTATTAATTGACCCAGAGTAAGTGATTAATACCTGGGGGAGCAAACAGCTGTGCATATCTCTCTATCAGTGTTATGGGGGGGGGACAATTTATGAGTTCACCCTGTATAAGC